TTTAGACTCTTTTAATATTTTCATTGTAAAAGAAAAACGAGTTTTCTTTGGCAATTCAATTATAATGTATAAATTAATCTTTTCATTATATAAAATGAGATATTTTCCAATTTAATCTACAAAATTTACAATTTCTTAAACTAACAATTAGTTGACATAAGAAATATTTTACAGGTATGTATACTATTTATTTGCTTAATATCATATAACGAAATCAAATAAATAATTCTAAGTATATTAGTATTAAATAATACGTTGCGTTTCTTATTTATTTATTGCATTTTTAAATAATTTAAATAAGCGTCTCTTTAAATTCTTGGTTGATTATACCACATTGCGATAATAATCAGCGGTATTAAAATCATGGATGAGAAAAGTGAAGGGTAACTATTTACAAAAAACTTCATAATGTTTATTATTAGATTTTTGCTATTTTTATTCGTTTCTTTTTTTTTTTTTTTTTTTGCCTTAATTAAAATACTATAATTATTGTGTATATTGTGAATAAATTGTAACTTTTAGATTGATGGATTGGCTAAAAAAGCATGTAGAAATTCTTCATTCCGACGAAAATGTTATTAATGCTTTTAAGCATTTGGAAGAAAACATTAGATCTAAATCAAATGATCCTAAATTGTATCCAGAGCTTAATTGGGATGCGACTGTTAGGTAATTCTAAATATATATATATATATATATATTTATATATATATGTGTGTCAATATATATTTTTTTTATTGACTTTCATCTTTCATGTTACTGTTCATAGGAAATCTAATGAACTTTGCGAAGATGAAAAGAAATTTTCCCATGATAGAAAAACTCATATTCGTGAAGCTTTCGCAAAATATGTTGGTGTTGAAGTTGATGAGATTCACCTTGATGACATTCCTACAATTGCATTTACGGGTAGCGGTGGTGGAATTAGATCTATGATTTGTGTTACTGGTAGGTCTTAAAAATTATGCGTAATAACTTTTGATTAATTTATCTAATATATTATCCATTTTTACTTTATATTTTACTTTTAACAAATTAAAGCATATCTTCGTGCTATTCAGGAAAGTGGACTTTATGATTGTGGCATATATGTTTCAGGTAAATATTATAAAAACAAATAAAATTCATATTAGAATAATTGATTTAATAATTAGATTTCTTGACTGATTAACGTAGGTGTTAGTGGAAGTGCCTGGAGTAACGCTCAACGATATACTTCAATGAGCAATACAAATAAAAATCCAATTCAAGCACAAATTGAATTTCTTCGAACACAACTTGATCATTTCATAGCTGATGCTCCAAAAGTTTTTAAGGCACTTGCTAATAATACTGCACCACAGGAAGCTGTTGAATTAGCTTTTGGAAGTTTAGTTCAGAAAAAAGACTCTGGAATTCATTTGTCACTTATAGATATTTATGGTGCATTGTTAGCTGCAAAGTTGTTAATAGGGCCCGATTCTACCATTCAATCCTCAGACTTTAAACTGAGTTCACAAAAGAAATATGTAGAAGGTGGAAAAAGCATGTTACCATTATATGCAGCGTTAGTTTTTTTTAAAGTTATAATATAAATTTATTTTACAAGTACTAAATTTCTGTATATTTTTATGAATTTCAGTATTTATGATAATCGTCCATGGAAAGATTACCTTGAGCCAGAATATGCAGCTTTAATTCCTGATTATGAACAAGTCTTAGAAAAGCATAAAATGAAAAATGGATATTTTCAATGGTATGAATTCACACCTTTTGAAGTTGGTTGTGAAGAATTTCCTGGTAAATATCATGAATAAGTATTTAATGTAACAGATAAAATGAAATTTTGCTTTAATTTAAAAATATCTCGATAAAGTTTTTTGTGATGCATTTTTATTGAGTTAGAATTTATGGTTGGGATTATTAACATATGATGGAATGAAAATTTTTAGAAACTTAG